ATTTTAGATGCTATAGACAGGCTACCAAAACAGACTAGCAAGAACAGTTCTAACCGCGTCGTTACACAGATAGAAGTCTCGTTGCAAAACCCCGTCTCTTCCCGTACCATCAGCAGTCGACTTACTAAGGCAAATTTACATGCACAGCGACCACTGCGTTTTCTATCATTAGCACTCCAACATCGTCGGATCCGTTTGCAGTAATTCCATGACAGAGAAAAGGTAACATCTTTACGACAAAACCTGGTTTCCGTTTGGGAATAGACGACCACATGCAGGACCGCGGATAAGCGCTTCAATCCGGGCTTTACTGTTGAGTGCTTACTGCCCCCATTGTTGGCGTGCTGATCTGGTGAGTCACCTCGTCTGACAGTCAGTCACTATCAAATAGTATACCGGGAAACATTGATGGCGCAGCGATACGTTCAAGAAATACTGTGCAGTAATGCCACACTTTTTGTGGCAGAACTGCAGCCATTTTTCGGCAAGATAATACTTGATGAACACTGTTAGGGTTTTCCAGAAGTATCTCTATCAAATTTTCATACTTCCTTGGCTTCAATCTCCGGGTTTTCTCGCCCATCGAACATTTATGGGACTCGATGGAATCAGCATCCATCATCTAAGAGTGGGAAGGATTCGGAGCGGCATTTGCAACACCTGTCGCAGGTAAGTATAGGTTTTCCTACTCTCCCAAATTATCCGGAAGGTTTCCAGAATTTTAAAAATTTGTTGAAATTCTCCCGACTACCGATTTGAGACGTGTCTCCCGCTTTTTCTCAAGACATCTCTCTTGAAAAGTCATAAGACTATCTGTCTTGTGTGATGTTTATTATTAAATAGAGAATTAGTTAAGTTGTTGTTCTTGGAAACCGCAATATTACAGGAAGAATAAAAAAAATTTTCTGAACGATCCTGAGAACAATCTTTATTTCTCATGCCAGAATATCAATTCCATTTAGTAAACTGGCTCGCTCGCTGTAAGTTTAAACGAAACGCCTTGGAAAATTACTTGTAGTTACATTATAACTACTTCTCGAGGAAACAAGTTCACTCGTAAGTCTTAGTTGACATTTCTTAGTCAATTCTGGATCGGCGTCGAAGAACAAATTTTTGTATTTTTAAAGCAAACGAAAAAATGCTGAAGTACGAGCGAAAACGACACAAAAATTTGAAATAAAAGAGTGAACAACTTTTCATGGACCCACAATAAAAGTAGATTTCAAGAGGTTTTTTTTGCTTGCTCATTCTGAAAAAATCAAATTCATACATCATTTTCATCTTAAGATAGTTGAAAATATGTTCGAGTTTTTCAGAAATTCTCAACGATTCTGTTAGGGAAATCGTGTTAAATCAGAGGCTACATGGGTTTAGCTAGCGTTTACACGCAAAGTCTAACGAAGATTAAATTATCGATTTGTGATTTTTAATAATAAAGAATGCAAGTTCCATGGTTATATTATGTAGTGATTTTACTTTCAAGATTGTCTCCCGGAATATTTTACTCCTGGAGTGGTCACTCCTTTAGAATTTGGTAACCCTATTACCCTAGGTTAGAATATAGTGCTCACATGTCTTCATGCCGACGGTAACGCCATCTGTATCCAAAGCAAGAGGCGATCTGACAACATATTAAATATTCTAAATATTTTTAAATTGTATCATTGTTCCACAGGAAATTGTTCATTTCTACAACATTTTAATTACTTATTATCATCATCGTTACGTTTTCACTAATGAAGTTTCATTCGATTCCAACGTCCCTTTCTTTATAACTTTTTTGCACAAATCAATCGCCTTGTTCTAGTACAGGGCTGTCCAACTGGCGACCCGCGGGCCGTATACGGCCCGCCAAATAATTTTTACGGCCCGCGAGTACATTTTACTATGAATACATTTATGTTACTAAATTATTATTATTAATATTAAAATTATTTTACTATGTGAAAATTTAAATCTAATTTGAATTTAAAGAAGGTACTATTTAGTTTGCGTAACTTCACTTAACCTGGCTGAATACAGCAGCAACCTTCTTGGCCCCCGAAATGTTTGGTGAAGAAAATACGGCCCGCGGGCTATGATAAGTTGGACAGCGCTGTTCTAGTATATTAAAGAGATCGAAAGCTGTTAGGTGCTGTACAATATCTCACATATGCGTATGCAGAGGATATTGCTGTTGTGTCTAAACCCAAATTGAAAATCAAAGGAGAACTAATTATTTTCATCGCTCTTGTTTAGAAAGGGGATGAAGATTAATTAATGTTATAAATAATAAATCAGATTGTGGTATTTCGACGGTCTTTTAAAAAATCTGGATAAGTGTCTTTGTGCGATAAGGGCCAAATGTAATAGCCTATAATTTATAATTGATACTATTTTGTTATTTAAACAATGCCGTAACTAGCTTTTCATGTGCTCTGTATAAGATTTTATTTTTGACTGCCTGTTTTTTGGGAAAAAATATTAAAAAATAAATGCGATAGAAATAGTTGATTATTTTTTAACTTTAACCGAAAATGTTACGAATCGAATCCACAGCGGTAAAATTTAAAATTTGAAAATAAAAATATAATATTAATCATTTTTTGATACTCCACTTTAGTATCCTCCTTTGTCCTGAGCCCTATGTCTGTGCACCCGTCGAACCTGCCTAGTTATGGCACTACATTTAATTTATTTTAAAATTTCTCGTGCTACATGCGTGAATAAAAATCTCATTTACGTATTTTCGTATCTAAAAAATAAATATAAATATAATCATTTGTCTTTTTCTGTCTTTACGTTTAAACAATTGTTTTTATCCTGCACCAATTTTGGTCACAAAATTTTGGATAGAGTTGAAGAGATTCAAATCCAATTTTAAAAAATGCTTTTGTAGTTGAGTCGTTCGGTTCTTGGCTATGCGATTAGATTAGAATCAGGTGGATTCTTATTAAAATCAATCTTATTAACACCTTTACAAATTTAATTTAATCATAGTTTTCTCGAATTTAGATCCTCTAAACCAGGGTTATCCAATCTTTTTTCCTAATAGGCCAAATTAAAAATTTAAGTATATTCAGCGTACCACAGGAACCTTGTATAAATATATTTTTGTTAAAAAGTTCAAAATATGAATATCAAATTTTAATAACAAATATATATAATTACAAAAAATACTGTATTATTTATTGACAGTAAAAGAAGAAATTATACTCACACAATATAAAAATAAATTCAATGCGATGTTTGCCATTGCATTCCTTTTACGAGTATAATATCGTCAATATCTGCTTTTATGGTACTAGTCTTAATTGTAAGAATGTTAGTTAAATGGTAATTACTCAATCTATTTCTTTTATCAGTTTTTATGTTTTTCATGCACGAAAAGAATTGTTCACAACAGTATGCACTAACCCACATGCATAACAGTTTTCTAGCACCAATTACGTCAATACGTCGAAATGTATCCAGTGAAACGAGAATATTTTTTACAACATACTTTATCAAACTAAATGAAAATGTACCTAAAAAATTTAGGGTGCAGTGAGCCGCAGTGCGGCCCGCGGGCTGCGGGTTGGACATCCTGCACTAAACTATAATTCAGAAAGAAAAATATTAAGTCACCAATTGGTTTATTGCTTCACATTCTTCCAGAAAATGATTCTGTTGTAGAGTTCTCTCAAAGGCTAACGTATACAAATAGGCTATGTAAACTTTATGAAAGCTGTTTTTGTGTGTTTAGACTTAGAAAAATAAGTATTGAGTTTATTTTCTGAAATTATATGAGCATGAAAATTTACGTTAATTACTTTTTGTTTCGGGAATTACTTTCTATGTCAACAAAGAACCAAATTTAAATAATGCGAATAATGAATTTGTTTTTTCCCTTAAGCTCAATGTAATAAATTCTATGAATTATAATTATAATTAATGACGAGTTTAAAATGAGGATGAAGCATAACCTATTTCGCAACATTGGAAATTTTTCACATTAAGTTTAATTAAGATATTGAGTACTTACTGTAAATTTACTTAAAACTGTTTAAAGACAAGTTTAATTTATTTAATTAAGTTAATAATGAAAGCTATACATTTATTTATTAATTAATGTAAACTGATTAACTATAATTAAATAACAATAACGAGGCATTTAAAATCTTCTGTATTAATATAAATTAAATATATTGTAAATATACCATTTTTAGGGAAATATACTATTTTCCTGAAAATTTAAAATAAGTATAATATTAATATAACGTAAATTCGATAAAATTTCAATTAAAAAAATCCAGTTTCAAGAAACCTTAGAAAATTATGCGAAAAATAATACTTTCTAATGTATTGTATTAGACTTAGATACTGTCCAATTTCATTGTATTCGTTCATTCCGAAACATGGTTTTAATTTTTGGACCAAACAATTATTAATATTTTAACTATCATTCATCCACAATGAAGGGAAATATAAATTGTTCATCCACAGTTTAGAGGAATATAAATTTCGTAAGTCGTTGGCGTTGAGTTAGCCATTAATAAAAAACTTTTTTTTAAATCCGACCCCACTCGAGATATAACATCTTAGCATCCTCTATCTCTTTATCCCTTTATTTTTAACTACCAAAATGAATAGCATCGATATATAGAAATAACCCTTCAAAGTTTCAAAATTTTTGGTTTATCCAGTTATGAAATATAAAACAATAAAGACACCGACACAGAATTTTGTACGGCGTTTTTTAATACATTTTTTTTTGGCTCCTGAAGTCGAGAAATGCAAAATTACCGGGGGTCAACATTTGACCGATCATCATACTTTTCCTTTTCTAAAACAGCCGGGAAAGTAAAAACTAGATGATATGAGAAAATTTGGTTTATAGAGAGAGTTATTCTTATGTAAGTAATCTCGCTCTACAACAGTATAATTTGTTTATATCCTTATTATTTAAAAAGTTATTGGTTTTAGACTCGATTTCCTAAACTTAAATCACATTATTACAAGTAAATGATTTTTATTTTCAGGATCATCCATAATACTGACATATAAAGAAGGTTTTACATGGAATACGATGAAACAGCTCTTCTTGATGTATATTAAAAAAGTAAATTTTGAATTGTTTTAACATTAAAAGAAAATCGTTACATAATTAATGTACTTTTTTTTTATTTTTCGTTCTTGCAGCCCGAATTCCAATCTGTTCAAGGATATATATCAAAAACGTACGATGCTAAAATACAAATGATATTTACTGATGCGGGTCGTGAAAAAGGACTTGCTGCTAATTTAGCAGGAAATATTCATGCTTATTTACAACAAGGTAAATAGTGGATTGCATTATGATAGTTTCTTTATTAAAAATTACTTCACAGCTTAAATCGATGTAATTATTAAATTAAATATTTCAAAATATTTGTTCTAAGGTTACAAAAAATCGTAAATTTATAGATTTCGGAGTAACATATTCACTAGCATACTTTTCTACTACACTATTTCGTTTTCCTATAAGAAATCTGCTTTCATTCATTGAATCATTGAGTCTTAAGACCAATATAACTTTATTTACACGTACATAGATTACTTTTGTGTGTTATAGGTTTATTTATTTTTCTTGAATATTTTTTTTTATAAAAAGATATTTGAACGTGGAGTAAAATTAAAGATTAAATCCGAAATATGCCTTTACTTAATTACGCGTTATTTATATTTTTCGATTCATAATCATATAGGCCTATAACTGAATCAATTTAACGTCTGCTTCTGTATATGTATATGCAGAAGGCCCTCGATTTAATAGACTACAAAATTTGGGAAAGGATATCTACTATGTCGACTGTCCATTAAATTGACTGTAATCTAAAAACATATGGAGTGGTCACAATTAAAGAGTAGGTATCAAAGCTGTCTCTAGAAAGAACTATTGGATAAATCTCAATCAAATTTGATATGTGTACTGTCCTGAGTATGTGGTATCGATTTTCAGAAAAATTTTATTTCAAAATTCTGCCGTTAGGGCAAAATTTAGCGCTCTTCTCTTTTTAAAGTGCATATTGAGTACGTTTTCTAACGAATTTCGGATATGAAAAGAGTTGCAAAAACTTCTTCGCAATTCTGTGACAAGTGAACAGTCATGGTACTCATTTTGCCTGATCGTGAGTTACTTGTTAAACTCTTCTATCAACGAAACAGCAATGCCAGCTCGGCACTTACGGAATTTCAGCGCTTAAAATGTTACGAAGGGGGTTCCCGACTATTAAAATCTTAGCAAAATGATTTTGCGTTTTGAGAAGACTGGAACTTTTCCTGTGAAACTAGGATTGGATTGCAAACCGATTGGACATCTGAAAACGGAAAACATTACTGCAGTAGCGGAGCAACAAATGAAAAATTCTCGTGGCAGTAGTAGTACGCATGCAATATCATACCTTTAGACACGCTCTGTATGACAGTATGGAAAGTTCTGCAATTTTATTCATACAAAATATCCCAGAGTCAAGAATTGATTTATTGTGATAATAATAAGAGGAAAATCTTTGCTATGACATTTGTAACCCGGTTGATGATACATGGTAAAATTTGTGGAGCAATAAGGCTCATTTTTATTTGCATGATGATATGAAGATATGCAACTGCTCTGTTTGGTCTGATGAAAATCTACAAGTTTACCAACAAATTACGTTCATTTACCAAAAATAACGATTTGGTATGATTTCTCAGCATCCTTTACATTGCTCCTTTTTTTAAAGAAAACCGTAGATCCGGGCTAGTGACGTTTTGCTAATGTCACTTGATACGAAGATGTGGTCAAAACTTTACCATTTCAGCAGAGAAATTGTCTGAACACCAAAATCTTTATGCAAGATGCACCCTACAATACAGCTTAAACATGTTAAACTTATTGCAACTACATATTTTTCACGAAAGTGAGTAGCCAATCAACGATTCAATGTGATGGCCGCCACGATCACCAGCTCTGAAACTGCTTTGACTTTTGGTATGTATTACCTAAAGAGCCTCGTTTATTAAGGCAATGTCCCCAACGTAGCTTTCTTAAAAGACAAAATGTCGCATGCTCGACAAATCCACGCAGGCCGTCGAGTGTGTTTTGCAGCGAATGCAATTTTTAGAACAAGGAGATGAACGACTACCTTTGCAAAGGTATGTCGTTCATCTTCTTGTTCCATATCTATAACCACATTTGTAACTGAAATAAAATTATCACATTTCGTTTTACGAAATTCGTCAGAAAACGTGCGTAATATGCGCATCAAGGAACAGCACAAAATTTTTTCATATCGGCTAAATTTTGAAGTAAAGTTTTTCCCGAAAATAAAAATCGCTCGGATTCGACTCCTGGATCGGGAATCGCCAATTCCAGAGATTTTTCATGAGCGTTCTGTTCAGAATATGTTGGGCCCCATCCTTCAAATAAAGCAATCCCCATTGTAGGCGTGTGTGTGAAGACAAATTCATGAAGCTGTGGAAAAAGGCCTCTTGATGCGCGTAAGGCAGAAAGAGATAAAAAATAAAAAATTCAGCAAAGAGTTGGCTATTAAGAGATTTTTATTTTAAAAATAACCTTTATATTATTTTATATTATTAATCAAACTATTAATAAATAAATAAACCGATACCAAAACACTTACACATATATTGTATATCCACGGAATTTTTTTCTTTTTTTTTCTTTTTTTACTTTATTGGTTTCGGGGTATTTCAAAAGTTGGAGACTTGCAAAAAAAACTCGGAAGGTCAAATTTGACATGATTCCAACATTTTCCCTTGTTTTGTATATGTTACTGTGAAAGACCGAAATTAGAGAATGTCGATATTCTCCGGTGAATGTCGACACATACAAAATACGTAGGTGAAAGACCGAATATTTTGTTATATTATTATACATTCGAACAATCGCCGGTGTATGTCGACAAGCACAGATAAGCTTTGGTGGAGGTCGAAACGACACCCGAGAAGCCGATGTCGACGGAGAGGCGACAGTCTGTCGCCAAATTCTTCGCCGTTTCCTTCTGCTCAAATTGGTGATAACGTACGAATACAAGTCCCTGATGTTGACCGTGGCCGTACAGATGCCCGAAATGTGTTGGCAGTTGTTGTTAGAATAGAAGACTCCGACTTTTATAAATTAGCAAACAAAAATGATAC